ACATACATCATCATCATCGTCGTTGCTCACTCCTGCTAAGGTATAATGTCAAACTCTAAAAACTCCAAATCCCGTTTTCAGTGCTCGCAGCGCGCCGGGGGACCACCTATATAGCTTTTGTAGCATGGTGGGAGAGAGTTCGGTGCAACACTTGCGGTGAGGCTGGTAGACCCTATATACGCTCTTGTAGCGTGGCGAGAACAATCTTAAGTACCTGTGTACATGCTTTAATGCCTACGGGGAAAACTTGCGCATTTTCAAACAAGTACCTCGAAGACTAATATACGCTCTTCTAGTGCGGTGGGATTGAAAATCACGACCACGGTGTCGCCTGAAACCTACCATACATGCTCTTGTAGCATTGTGAGAAGGCCCAGCCCCCTAAAATTCCCCTAAACAGAAAAGACGCCAAGAGGATGCCGAAATTTTGACTGACAGGGGACTTGACTAGGACAATTAAAAGGAAACAAAACTTGAATTGAACTACAAGGAACCGGACTTTGAATTAATAAATGTACGGTCATACTAAAAATACAAATGCTAAGTAACAATCCAGATCATTCAAACAAACATCAATGAACAAAGCAAAGGGAAAATGGTGAACAAACCCTCAAGTACACACAAACGATGAACAGTGAAATTAAAATGACTTGTGACACTCAACAAATCAATTTACAAATGAAAACAGCGACTCGCAAACACAAAGGAAAGACTTGTGATGAATATACTAGTACTTTGAAGAAACAATAGATTTGAAATGAGCATGGTCCTCCTATAGTCGACGCCAATTAACTCGCAAGCATACACATCAGCCACTTCTGAACACTAAAAGTCAATGTGCGATGAGCTTCCTACAAACATGCATAAAGAAGTCAGTGATGCTCACATTAACATGCAACAAAGATTGAAGGTTGATATGCAATGAAGGCAGCAATTTTCCAACCAACACGCATAGGGAGATAAGCGATAAATATAATACATCTAGTAGTCAATGTTAACTTGTAGAGAAACACATTAATATGCCTGTAAACAATAAAGCTTCTTGCAAACATAAACAGTGCAATATACGATGAATGCGAACACTTGCCGACAATGATGAAGATTTGTCGTATGCACAATAGTATGCCTCTGAATGATAATCAGCAACAGGAAATAGATGTTATAATACCCTTGCAATTAACCACCATTCAATGTCAAGCAAAGACACTAATCCCCTGCAAATAAAGGTGATCGATATACAATAAATGGGAATACCTACGAGCCACTGCAAGAGAGGCATCATGTACACAACATGGTATCCACAAGCAAATTTAGAAGAACAGTAGTAAATGCAAAACCTAAGGGTAGTAATAGAAGATTTGCATTCAATACACAGTTGAAGATTTACAATACATATAGCAGTCTTGCTTATAAACAATGATAGTGAACGTATTGCAAGTGTGGAAGATCCTTTATAGGCATGAGTAAGAAATGGCAAAGAATGCGACACACTGCCTGCAAGCAAAAGCAACAAACCTGTGATGAATGAAATTATCTATGAGCAACTGTAGGAAATTCATCAATGGACAACATCTCATCTGTAAGAAGCAGCAACCAACCTAATGGAACATGAATGTCGACTGCTTGCCCGCAAATGCATAAACAAATCTTGCATTACACAACAGCTTGTAAGAAGCGACCAGTGACCTGTAGCGCAACGCTACGATTCACAAGTAAGCAAAAGCAGGGAG